ACCACTACAGTTTATTGTAGCTCCAATTTCAATATAAAAATCTCAGCCTGAGTATTTTCAAGTTCTGTACTTGATTCTGGCCACTGTCACATAAATAGAGGTATCTAATCACAATAATAATTTATAATAATCATAAATGATATTGAAACCAGTGTTTACTAGACACTAGAATAATGTTCCAATACATCATCTTATTTATATATTTATTTTTCAAATTGAAGTATAGTTGATATTCAGTATTATATTGGTTCCAAGTATACAACACAGTGGTTCAACAGTTATACACCTTGTTAAATCTTCACCCCCACTAGTGCAGCACTAGTTAACATAGAAGGATATTACAGACCCATCAATATTCTGCATGCTGCACTCCCATCTCCATGGCCTACTTATATTGTGATTGAGATTTTGTGACTCTTTCCCATTCACTGCCTCTACTCACCCACCCTAACCCCTCCCCCATGGTAAGTCCCAGTCACTTCACAGTGTCTGAAATCTACTGCTGTTTGTTCATTTGGAGCTGGCTCCCACTGGGGCTCGATCATTTGGGCTGAGCTGGGAAAGCCTCCCTCTGCCTGCCAGGTAGCAGAGTCAGAAGGCTGAGCAGACTGGGCAGAATGGGTTTTCAGGGAAGCCGCTGTGGGGCTGAGCCGCCAGTGGAGGAGGTGGAGTGTCTGGAGCTGGCTCCTGTGAGCGCCCGACCAGGTGGGCTGAGGGAGGGCTGGGGAAGCATCAACTACCTGCCCTTTATCCTCCGAGGGAGCTCCCTCCAACCTCTGCCCCTCTGGCACCCTTCTGGCTGCTGGTAAATCCTTCAAACTGCCATCTCTGTGCTGGGTCTCAGCAGGACCAATGGAGTGCACCTGTCCTCCACAAGTGATGGGAGTCTCAGCCTCCCAGACTGCTCCAACTCTCCCTGGTGTCCAACCACATCAATCACAGAAGCACAGTGCAATGTGGACTCCAGTTCTCACAACAGATCTCCAGGGCCAGGGGTGCAGGATTCCTGAGTGCCTATTCCTTCCCTGCTCTGTTCCTCTCTCTCCCACTTGTGGGCTAGGAAAGGGGAAGAGCTTGGGTCCCACTCGGTCCCACTCTGCCCCCTTATCCTCTCTGTGTGGTCTCCTCTGCTTCCCCAGATGTAGGTGGTCTGTTCTGCAGTCTCAGGTCACTCTTTCAGGATTAGTTGTATTTGCTGTAGTTGCTTCCTTAGGTGTGCATGAGAGGTTTCCGCCTTGTCTTCTTACTCCACCATCTTTTCCACCTGGAGCATCATCTAATTTGTGTTCACAAACACCTTAAGAATTAGGTAATATTTGTGCCATTTTATAGGTAAGAAAACTAAGCTTATTTCAAATCCTCTGGGTTGCCTAAGGAAGGCTTCACATGGAGTAAGTTAAAATAGGAAAATATGAAATAGTTTACATGGATTCTGATACGAGAAAGAAATGCATAAAGACAGTTTTTTAACCCTCTTTCCACAGAAAATGGGACCTTCCTCTTGGTCTGGTTTAAAGACAGTCCTGCCTAGAGAAAAAAACTTATTTCCATCATCCCTGAGAATCTGAGTGAATATTTGCTGGGCCAGTTTAAAAGCAAATTTTACTCTTATACACAATTAAAATCAACTCAAAAGAGATCTTTACTTGATATTTAGGAGAAAGCAGTGAGTGTGGAATTGAACTCTGTTTGGCACAATGACAGCATATATTCAAAATCAGGTGAATATAACTAGGGGCAGCTAGTAAATTTCATATCAATCCAGAATAACAAAGTTGGAGTAAAACGGAGGTAAGCAAATTGCCTCGGAAGTTTTATCCAAAAATATGAAGGGTTGTGATGGGCTATAAGGGATAGCATAATGGAGGAAGAGGAAAAATAGCAATGGACATTTAGAAAGAAACAAACTTTTGCTGCACCCTAGCTGTGTCTTTGGGCCACATTCTTCTTACTTAAAGCATCTTAGTACAGTTGAGTCTCTCAGCAAACTTAAGGGTAGGTATTATTATCCAAAATTCTGTTCTCAGGAAACCAAAGTATAAATTGCCCAGTGTCCCATATCATTAACTGGAGGTCAAGAATTCAAATTCAGGTCTGTATTACTCATCAGTAATAGAGGGTCTTTCTGTTATACACTGCTCTGGGAGAGTTGGTCTCCCCTCCCCCACAAAATGAAAATTTATTGGAAACACACAACTCTCTCTCTCTCTCTCTCACACACACACACACCTTCCAAATGTTTAACCTTCCAAAGTCACTAGATGAGTGAAAGCAAGCTATTTTTAAGAAGATACAATATAGAGTGGCTTTCCTCCCTCCTCTCTTTTTAATATTTGCTCTTTCTGTGATTTATTTTTCCTGAGTCCTGAAGGAGTTTAATGCATTGCCTCAAAAGTAACTAGAGTATTCCTATTTCTTTTTTGGTTTCCATTTAAACTACAGCAATGTATATTTAACTTTTTATTTTTGCAATACCATGCAACTACTTGCCTTAAGAATGTAAAATGCTGCTAACCAGTGCTTTGAACACTCCTCACTGATTTTGTTCATGAAAAGAAGAGGTCAGTTTGGTGACCTACTAGTCAAGGAAACTATTAGTCTCATTTTAAAGACAAAGAAAGCACAGAAGTACGTGGGTGTAAATGGTAGGCTTGCCTCTTGCTGCAGTATCTCCAATAAAAATGGTACTGGGGGCTTCAGGCAGTAGCAGTTGTTCCTTGTTTCTGTTAAGTCACTTTGTTTTGGAGTTGAATAAAAAATTGGAATCAATGATGCAGTTCTATGCTGCTACATGATGGAGTCTGACCCAAGTAATGAACGACATTTATAAGAAACAGATCACAGTAGGGGCACCAGACAGCCTTCAGGTGCAAAACAACAGGATCCAAGAAAGAGAACTTGAGCAAGTGAATTTTTTTCAGACGTTACATGGGCTGGTGATGTATCAAAGAAAGAAACCGCAAACATCCTATCTCAAGAATATGGAGGAAAAAACACAAAAATGGCTAATAATGAAATATGTGATTATATAAAAGTTCCATAGTGGTGAAGTCATACTGTCAATACCTCAGAAGAGTCAATTGCCTTGTAACATAGCTGCATACAGGTGCAGCAATGAACTGCACATACAGTTTAACATATAGATAACAATTATTCAGAATATCAGAGGATTTAGGAAGAGGATGGATATTAATATCCACTGGGATTCAGTTGAAATAAACACAAAGGGATGGGTGATGTTCAGTGCAAGTGTGAGAGAAAAAAGAAAGCTGGTTAAAGATCCATGAGATTAGGAAGGGCCATTAGTGGTTAGGAAATTGCTAGTTTTGCTCCACAATGTGAACTAATCATTGCAAGTCCCATCTCTGGAGTGTTCCCAAGGGAAGGAAAGCTCTTTGCAGCCCAGAAAATAAACAAAGGGCCTTTGCAGAGAGCACGGTTTAAGGGAACGCCAGAGCTAGTCTGAGGAGGCAGGCCCTGCCTCCACCCCCCAGCCTTTAACAGGGGCACATACGAGATCTTCCCCTGCACTTTTGGTTGCTTTTCATGAAAACCAAATGTTTGTATTCTGGATTTCTCACCACAGCCTTGTGGCAAAGGAATCATATTCTAAACTTGAGACTCTATAAACTAAAACGAATATTAAGCGAATTCTTATTAAATACTTTACTTGTGTTTTCAATAATGACTGATGTCTTGAAATTATTACCTCATTGGAATTAAGGGAATGAAAGCCTTGAACAAACTTATTGTTTTAGCCTGAAATACAGAAGATGGAAGCACAGTAAAAGGTTCAGACAGGAGAGGCACTGGCTGCTGCTGCTGATATGTTTTGCTTTGCTCGCATCAAACTATGTTCTTGGCCATCACTGATAATCTTCTTCAAAAGCATGTGTGCACTAGGTTGTGGTGATAATGACAGGAGGCAGGGCAGACCTAGTCTTTACCTGCAGAGTGGAGAGTTCAGCACTTGGCTGCCTAACTTAACTAAAGCGTGGTGAGTGTTGCACCGGTGAGAGCAGTGATCAGGAAACACTTGAAGAATCCACCCCCGTCTAGGGGATTCCTTGGCAAGAGATGTTGAAGCTGGAACTGAAAAAGGGAAGACAAGTGGGTTAACTATTTAGAACAGACACATGTTCATCTTAAATTACTTATTATATAAATTCCTAGAAAATTTAATCTCTTACTAATAATACGATGGTGTTTTAATGTCATGTGGTTTTCATAATAGTCATTCCGTGTGTTGGTCACCTGTAAACACCTTGGTGCGGCAGGCACATTGCGATTAGCCAGATGCTACTGAGAGGAAAAATTCCTTCTGATCATCTTCGTTTTCCTTTTCTTCCAAAACTTATCGCTATATAATTTATGTACCATAAAATTCACTATTTTCAAAGTGTAAGACTCAGTGCTTTTTAGTAAATTCACAAGATTGTGATTATTGCCACTGTCTAATTCCAGAGCCTTGTCGTCATCCCCGAGAGAGACCACGTGCCTATGCGCAGTCACTGCCCACTCCCCTCTCGCCCCCTCCATCCTTTAGGAACCGATAATCAAGTTTGTCTCTATAGAAATGCCTATGCTAGACATTTCCTGTTTTTGGAGCACACAATATGTGACCTTTTGTGTTTTTTTCACTTCTTTTACTTGGCATAATGTTTTGAAGGTTCACACATATTGCATCACGTATCTGTATTTTATTCCTTTGTGTGGTCAAATAATATTCAATTGTATGGATTTACCACCTTATGTTTATCCATTCATAGGTAGATGTATGTTTGAGCTGTTTCCACTTTTTGGCTGTTAGACTGGTACTGCTGTGAACATCATTTGTTTACAAGCTTTTGTGCAGCTGTAAGTCTTCATTTCTCTTGGATGTGTACCAAGGAGTGGAATTGATGAGCCATATTTGTAACTCAGTGCTTCCCTTTTGAGGTACTGCCAGGCTGTTTTCTGTTTTGCATTCCCACCAGAAATGTTTTATTTTCTTTTGATAGACCCCAGAGGAACTGGAGGATGTTTCTGACCTGGAAGAGGATCATGAAGTCCGCAGTCACACCAGCATTCAGACGGAAGGGAAAACTGACCGGGTATGTCACCTCCCTGGGGTGCGATGACTTCCCTCGTCAGTCCAGGCAGCCTCTCACAGGTGGATAACCCAGTCTGGAGCTGTTTTCCCAAAGCACAGGGAGAGGAGCCTCAGAAGGAAGGGGCAACAGAATGAGGGAAATTATTTCTTTAACATGAGCTTTCACATTTACACTGTTTCTGGTCAGGTAGTGAAACACTCCATACCACTTTTGGCTTTTATAGCAATCATAAAAATATAAAAGTGAAATGCATATATGTTTGTTTATTGTAGAAAAGAGACACCAAGAGGTTACAAATATTCCCTGAAATTCAAGTGGTGAAAAAACTTCTGAAGTAATACTCTTCTGCTTTTCTTCCTTTCTGCAGTACCCTCTTCTGCCCTCTTTGGCCCCTGCCCTCAACACACGCACACACGACCACCCTCAACACACCCCTCCACAGAGGTTAATCAATTTCTGAATTACTCTGATGTGTACTTCTCTTTACACCCAGTACTTGAGAATCTGGGAAAGTTGGGTTTTCCTGGCCACTGGCAGCTTGCAAGTGCAGACCAGACAACCGAACGTGGGTCTGAAAGCCAGTCTGTAACCTAGCTCCATTTAACACATCCCAGTCAGCCACCTCTTTGCTGTGTTACTTGGGAAACTAACGAAGCTTTCTATATGTCATTCCTTGGTTTGTTGGTTTGTGAAGTGAGGATACTTACAGTGTGCTCTATATGAGGATCTTTGTGGGAATTACTAAGGTAACTAATAGAGCAGTTAACACAGTGCTTAGCTCATAGTAGGTTTCTATAATCATTAGTTATTTGTAGTTGTGGTAGCAATATTATTATTATCATCATTATCACTATTACTATGTAATTAGTTAAGTTCAGTGACATAAATTTAGATGTGGATGAAGAAAAAAAATAAATAATAAGGAAGATAAATAATAAAAAGATAATAAATATGGAAGTTCTATATTTTCAAATACCCAGATTGTCTAGAACTGGTATAGATCAGTCACAACACCTGTATTTGATTAGAAATGTTGGTTTCCTTGAGTTTCCAATTTTTTTTGTTGACTATTTGTATTATTTCTCAGTCTTACAGTAGCCAGTTCATGTTGGGAAATGTCTGGAGACACATAACATCTGGCGTTAGCTTCCTTTGGTCTAGTAAGAATTCTTTGTAAGTGATTGAATCTTACAAATGGCAATGGACTTGGAAATAAATTTTACTAAGTGTTAACTTTCGCTCATGCTTCAGTAAAAGCAGTGAGTGATAAACCTAAGTTGCTGTTGAACTACTAGAGGTAGAGGGTAGGTGTCAGGGTTTACCAAAGAATTAATAATAGGCAATCTTGCTAAAATAAAGGCTCTTTTTAGGATGTTGGGATTGGGATAAACATGCTTAGGCTCTAATTCTGGCTCATCACATATAGACAACAAAGCCTTGGTTAAGACTCTTAAGACTTAGAAACTTCAAATTTTTTCACCTGAAAAATGAGACTGCTTTCTTACAGAATTATTGGTAAGTTTAAAGAAGACCATTCACATGAGAGTGTTTTATAAACTTTAAAATTATGTGTTAAGAAAATAATAATCTTCCTACTATTTTTGTTTGTATTTTTGTTCTTGGATGGGATCACAGCCAGCATGATGGCCACCTAACCACTGTAAGTTAACAAGTTAATGATCTCTATGGTGCTAGGTTTTGCAAATTTTTCATAGAAAGTACTACGCCTAGCCTTGTGGAAATCACCCTGACACAGCTGTGCATTCTGGATTTGTGTTGCACTGGGCACAGTTCCCTGACAGCCCAGTTCCTTTGGGTTGCCCCCGGGCAGCATCTTCAGTACCTTTAGTGGCAAGATATATCCCCAACCATCAAATCTACTGGGAACAACATTATATTCAACCTGGCTGGTCTCTGCTCTCATAAATCTTTCCTGCATAAATTCCAAACAGCTTGTATTTCATTCACTTTCTGCCTGGAGGCTTCCCCACAATTGCTATGTGGGATCCCTCAGGAAGCTCTTCAGATATTCTAATACATACACAACCTCATGTGAGGCATTAACACCCCACAGAGCAACCTTTGACCAATACTCTTTCATTTCTTAGGTGGACCATTTTTAAAGCTCATTTCCCACAGATCTTAAAAAGTTCCCCACGGGGAACAAGTGCCAGTTCCTAGGGCAGTGGCCAGCTTGATAATATACTTTTGGATTTGCTCTCCTTTCTTTTTTTATTCGTTCTTCCCAGGCTCTCACTTCTGTTCCCTAAGATTTCTTCCCAAAATAAACTACTTTACATTCTGAGGTTCTGCCTTTTGGGGAAAAACAAGAAAAGGTAGTCACTTCATCTATTTTAATATAATTCTCACATTAACTTTGCTATATTGATATTTTTATACCAGTTTTACTAATAGGGCCAATGAGGTTCAGATAAATGTAACTTATCTAGTACATAGATTATGTTTTCAGACTAAAAATTTTGGTGATTACATGTCAGTCACTTAAGACAGACAGTTAGTCGAATTAATCCTTTACAAACAAGCAAATAACCACCACAGCATCATGATGGGATGAAAGAGAATAGAATGAAGGGAGCCACAAAGCCTAAGAAAGGGAGGAAAAGTACATTTTCTTAAGTTTAAAAAGTAATTATTGTATAGTCTGGACAATTTAATTCTAGTAACATTCTTTTATATCTTGTGAGTTTATTACTACAGATTCTGTTTTCCTACCTGAAGTTCATGAGATGGCTGGCCAAAGGGGATAGCTCAAATCTGTTCTCCATGCAAATCACCCAGTGAGAACCAAGATAATGTGTAGATAGACTTCATGATCTTTCCTGGGCACCTCATATCACTACAGTCCATATTCCCTACAATTACACTTCTGTACTTAGAATGTATTCATACGTTCAGTCTTATATCTATATGAGGCTTTATCTGTGCTTTCTATCAGCATTCCTGAAGTTTGTATACAGTGGACAAAGCATACATTTTGCCACATTTCATAGGTACCATCAATTAGAGAAGCTACCATAAAATTTTGAAATGGAATCTCTTGAGATTCTCTGCATACTCACACCATGCTCTACATGGAATTCCTAGTCACTGCCCAAGACAAGCCTTTGGGTTCCTTTTTGTTTGCTGCTGTTACTAAGGAGTAAATGCTTTTCTGGTTCTTGGATTATGTGAACTGTGCTATGTAGAACTTGTATGAGAACCAATTTCAGGCACCGTTTAGTACTAGGGTGACAGTTATTTATTATCATTTTGCTTTCTGCATTTCACTCCCAGGAGCTCTGGCTGAATATCATCTGTTTTGTTGTCATCAGTGGCAAATGCCACTAGGCATTGTAAAGGTCTGTCACCAACAAATAATGACTTAGAGTCCACAGTCAATGAGAGTGAAATACTTAAAGACCAATAATGTGTACCTTATGAAGTGGCAGAGGAACAGCAGTGGAAATTAGTGATTATCTTAATTATTAAACATGAATACTCACTGGACCAATACTTCAGTTGTATCCAGTGATCAGGCATTCCAAAGTGCTGCAGGGGTGTGAATTTGCTAGAGATTTACAGAATGTTCTTCAAAGAGCTCATTGTTTATTCTTTTCGTGCTCTTAGCAAGGATAAACTAGGTATCTTTTATCTTAAAAACTCAGATTTGAAAGAGATTTGAAAATAGACTCCTGTAAGAGAAACAAATTCCTAATTTATTGATACTAGGATTTTTTGGTAAGTCCTAAAAGCTTCCTAAAAAATTATACTACATACATGCCAAGTCATATTTTCTATTTAAACAGAGTAGTTATTTAACACTTTATAGTTTACAGACCATTTCTAAATTGGTGTCTCATTTTTAAAAATCCCTAGAGTATGTTACTTATTTTTTCTTGATACTACTAATTAGGGAATTCGACTCAAAGAATTTCAATAGTTTATGCAAGTCATGTCAGCTGGGACCAAACCCCAGGTCTTCTGGCACCGGCCACACTCTTTCCAGTACAGCACACTTGTCAACGCAGATAGACTCTAATCATTCCTTTAGACCTAATTGCCTTCCTACTGCTGCGGCTAGTATTATGGAGTTGATATTATAACTCCTCTACTAGAAAAATTACTTGTTAAACTGAGACTGTAAACCTTAATATCAGATCTGCTTAAGCCTCACAAATTTCTAAATGTCCCAATACTACAATCTTCCATCAATAACAACGCCAGTTTGTTGATTACCTTTGGAAACTACATAGTGATGCCCAGACCTTGATACTATCCCAGGTGGGTCACTTTGCCTTAATGAGATGGTATATTAGTCAGGTAGAGTCATATAGAAGAGGATCTTGTAGGGTGACAATTTGAGGTCTTCATGCACAGAATCCAAAAGATAGAGGTAGTTACTCCCAGGATGCTAGCAACTTTGACTAGTTCAGGAAGCCTTGCAAATACAAATTTCATTCTTCTGATATGAGATGATTTTGGCTCCCTGGTTTTACCATATTAAAAATTTTTTGACATACTGGACATTCCTGGGCAGTCTTTTGAAGTTGTTTTTAACTCAAGAGGTGACTTACTGCTAACTGCTCTTATAGGTTAAAAAGAAGATGACATTAATGTGACTTGTAGGGTATTGGTGCTTTTATGTACACCTGTGTTCATGTGAAGTGATGTAGACCTGAAAGAGTGATCCCAGAGGTGGCTCCTTGTGGTGGGGTAAAGCAGAAACTCGACCCCACAATCGTGAAGTTCTTATTTTCTTCATTATTGAATGTCTGGCCCTGCACTGGGTGTTTTTCTTCTTGTGGGAAGTTTGGTAGTTTGTTGATCCCTCAGTTCTTATCTCTCTCAGAGTCCTCAGTTACCTTTGTCAAGTTACACAGAGTTTAATTTCCTCGTTTATGGTGCATGCTCATAAAAAAAGAAAAGGAAAAAGTCATCCTGATATTTAAAGAATTCATTTTGGAGACAGTTTTGCAAACAGTCATTTAAAAACCTCCTTTTCTTCTCTACCCCTGCCCAGGAAGGACATATGCTCTAGTGATTATTCTCTCTGCCTCTTCAGCTTGGAAGCCAATAAGGTCTAACAACTAAATCAAAGCTTTTGTTCTGACTCACATTATTTAAACTTTGATCAGAGTGCCTGGTCTATGAGGAGTCAAAAAAGGGAACTCATTCAACAGCTCTGAATAAGGCCAGATTTTTATTTGAAAGAATGTGAAGCTTGTGGTCTCTGATTGATGAGATTCAGTTAGAGGAATATAACATTAAAAACAAAACACTTAAAAATATATCATTTCAACTGTAGTCATATCATATATTAGCACCATAAAGTTATGCCACCTTTCAAAGGATACATTATTCATCATATTTACTGATGATCCAAAATTAGAACATTGTATTACAAGTCTGTTTAATGACTAAAATTTGTCATACTTTTAATATCATATTCATTGAAGAGCATATAGTTTGTGAACCTGCTCTATATTAAATATCTCTGAGGCTGTTGAATCTATATAAGTTCTATAAATAGAAGTAAATTAGGACAGAAATAAGAACAGTTGCCTAGGTTACTAGACACAAACTTA